ATGGGAAGGGGTGCGATTACGCCGACATTAGGAACACTTCTGCGAGCGTATGCCGTTTCACGAAAGGATGGATTATTATTCTTATAAGTACGAACAACATTACGACGTGACGCCCCCCACGTTTTAAACCGCCTCATTGAACTTATTCAATGGCGTATTCCTCCCCTTCTTCTTTCATAGCACGCCGTGTTCAGCAGTTAACCGTCCTTCTCCAACTGCCTCGACCGACTCTTTCACCGCCTCCACCGCAGGTGCTTGACCCTCCTATAGTGCTTCAGGCTGCGTTGACGGATCATAGGTTATGTATCACACTGACAATGTTTTTCATATGCCAGATCGAATTATGCGGGTTAATCTCATATCTGTTATACATAGGGATCTTTTAAAGATGTCATCCTGTTAACACGAAGCTTGACCAGGATAAATAATGATTTAGTACTTGTCTAGGTCATCAGACAAAAACACCCTCAAGAGGGAGTAAATCACGAAAACTCTTGTACTTCTCCCCTTATCAGTAATAATACCCATAATGGAGGAGGTATCCGTCCAGGAAGGGAAAGGGGAAGGTGATAAAAGGTCTTGGTATCTTCTTAAGGATGATCAATCTTGACAGATGTGAGGCAGTCTCTATGGGCTTATGTCTTGGGTAGGCATAGTTTTTTCCTCGTTCATGGATAAAATATCAGTCAATCGATTATAGCAAGAGAAGGGTAAAATATTTTACTAGCATAATAGTGAGTCAAGAGCATTCTCAGTAATACAAGGAGGTACGAAAGAGAATAGTGTCAGTAAGGACCCTCATTTGCAATGGGTTCTTACTAAATGTCCAGTTTTAGAAAAAAGTAAGTGTGATTCGAGTCCGTCTTCGCGAGGGATTTAGAGGTTACTTTCCGTTATAAGGGGCAGCCAAAGGTTTCTGGTCTTGAGTGCAGTCGTTAAGGCAGTGAGGAGTTTCGTGTTAAATCATCTTGTTTATGTTTTACTTAGTGGTCAAATTCATGTATAAGATTATCTGTTAGAACTCATCTACTTCAAGACCACCTACCTGAACCTATCCGATTGAATCCAAGCGCTTAAATTTCTTCCTTTTAAGGTCATTCATTCCAGCTTATCTATGTAAATTTATTTGTTCGCGACAGTTTATTCAATCAAACCTATTTAATACTATTCATATAAAACTATCTATTTGATGCATTTTTATTCATGGTTACCCGCCTGACTACCCATCTTAGCTTATTTACTTAAGACAACGCACCTTAATCCATCCTTATGAGTTAATTAAATATGACTATCTGTGTATATCTATTCACTTGAACCTATATGGTTGGATTGCTCTCAACATGTTATTCGTTAAAATAGGACATTATATTGTGTCCTGTTTCTAACGAATCAATTTTTGGCTGCAGCCTAAGCAACGTAGGCATGCCCATCCAGGGATTAACCACATGCAGAAGTGTGCTGAGATCCATACTTGTGAAACTTCATAAATGAAATCCCAAATGTGGAAGTGTGTTGGGATCCTTACTTGTTGAAGTTCAAAAACATGTCAGCAGCCTTTCCGCTGAGCCTGAAGATTATGCGGTCCGACCACTGACGTCTGTTGTCGACTTGCAGCATCGGTTCGACGAGGCTTCCGTCGCTATCAGCCCGTCTGAAAAAAGTCGATGTATAAGCATCGACGAAGTTATCGACGGTATCCTCGACGACCACAACGTGTCTGCCCGTCCGTCCGCAACTGCCAACGTCACATCTTCCGTGGCAGCTGCCCTCGCTTCGTCGCCGCCGAAGTCTCTGGTGTTGCAGGCCATCCTTGCCGCCGAAGGGGAAGGCGAGTGCAGTGGAGGACAGCATGTGACGTCCCCAAAAAAAATCGAGGTTCGGCGGTCAGGCTCCCGACGTGCTCGCTTTGCCTGCTCCAAATTCACCATCGAAGGAGCGGAGAGAGAAACAGACTGGTAAGCCGTGAAGAACGCCTGCGCATCCGGATGTCGCCGGATTACAGTCCGCGCTATACACACGACGACTGTCCACACTGTCTGTGCATACGGGAAGTTCCGGATGTCGGCATGCTACAGCCAGCAGCCCTTCCTACTCCAGCTCATCGGCCTATCTATGACTCGGCCGGGTTGTTAGTCGAGGGCGGCGAAAACTTCGTTCAAAACCTTGCACTCCATCCAAGGAAGGATCTGCCCCGGCTTAGGAAGTGGCCAAGGTGCTAAGAAAGTGGCCAAGTACATGGACTGACAGTTTTCCCTTCTTGGGAATAGTGCCGGTTTTAGTCCGCCGGGATCCGAACTTCCTTTGTCGATGCGTGATGTGGTCAGTCTCAGTGGGGCTAGTGTGTTGAAAAGTCCACCGTAGTCCGAACTTCGGGGATTGTTGGCCTCCGGCTTCTGTGAGTTGTGGTGGTTTTCCTTTGCGAAGTGCGGGGGGTGATAAGCTCGAATGTTGCAGTCGTTTTGTTTTCCAGTCGCACAACCGCACCTAGGTGCACATGACCACGCGAGATCAGGGTCCTGTGGTCAGAGAGGTCCTGCTTGACTGTAGGCCAAGGTGCTAAGAAAGTGGCAAGTACATGGACTAACAGTTTTCCCTTCTCGGGAATAGTGCCGGTTTTAGTCCGCCGGGATCCGAACTTCTTTTGTCGATGCATGATGTGGCCAGTCTCAGTGGGGCTGGTGTGTTCAAAAGTCCGCCACAATCCGAACTTCGCGGATTGCTGGCCTCCGGCTTCTTTGAGTTGTGGTGGTTTTCCTTTGCGAAGTGCGGGGGTGATAAGCTCGGATGTTGCAGTCATTTTGTTTTCCAGTCGCACAACCGCACCTGGGTGTACATGACCACGCGAGATCAGGGTCCTGTGGTTGGAGAGGTCCTGCTTGACTGTTGCGTCTGTACGAATGTATGACTCTCATTTTTCGTTTTGTCTTTCTTCTGTTGTACAGGGGTGGTGTCGTCTCGAACACGGAGGTCCTCCAAATATCCAGAGCACATATTGCAAATGAAAATGAAAAAGATGAGAGCATACGGTGGAACCGGTGAATCATTCGAATATCTTTTCGAATGGGGCAGAGGGCTCGTAGTACCTTTATTTACAGCAGCAGCCTAGCAATAGGCGCGCAGCGCAGCGCTGGTCTGGTTGTGTACACAGTCAGCAGACGGGAAGGAGCCTAAATCGATGGACTCGAAAGAGCACATCGCATACTTGAGCAGTACGAATACGTCGGCGGTCGGGTGAGACTAACTAAGCAGTCGTTGGCTGCTTCGACATCTACCGACTTCGTACCCTTCCCCGGGTTGAGTAAAAAACAGAAGGATATGTTAAAGGCATTAGGGGTTGATGTCAAGATCGGGAAGAAGGAGTACACCGTTGCCATTGAGCAATGTCTTTCCCTTCTTGCCCCAGAGAAAGGAACATATCCACGATCTATGAGTAGGGGTCAGGCCATGTATGAGAAGTACTTAGCAACGCGTCATGCACCGGGGGACAATGTCTAGAACTCCGTTTCTGACTACCCCACGTGTCCTTTGCTCGATGTTGTGCAGTGCGGGCAACAAGTGCAGCACGCAGGAAAAGTTTCACTGCGACGATTGCGCCTCTGAGCTTGCGGGTTTTGGATGACATTGTACGAGGCTCGGTGTCGTCTAACACTATTCTCTTTATACTGGGCGATGGTCAATTTCGGATTGCAGCAAAATATCTCCTCACCCTCTTGCATGTCAATGGCAGGGTGAATGATAAGGTGGTCAATTTCTATATGACGTTGTTGGGGTCGACCGCATGTGGGTCACGTGACATCTCTTCAGGCCTTCAAGTCTTCAGCTTTAATTCGTTCTTCTTCAGTAAACTGCGACTTCAAGGACATGGTGGGGTGCAGAGGTGGGCTAAAAACGTAGATTTGCTTCATTACGATATTATCTTTGTTCCTGTCCACAAAGATGATGATCACTGGATCCTCGTTTCCGTCAACATGAGAGATGATGTTCTCGAAATTTTTAATTCTTTTCCTCGCATTGTAGTTGATTCTAGTTTTTACCTTAGTGTTTTCGGGTTGATTGTACAGTATTTGGAACGTCAAACATCACATAGGCGGTCGGGTAGGAATTGGAAGTCCATGGTAGGAAATGTTGTGGTGGATGGAGTTCCGAGACAAGTGGATGGAGCAAGCTGTGGTGTGTTCATGTTGATGTATGCGACGTTGTTGCAACATGGAGATCGACCGCCTTTCCGGTTCTCTTGTAAAGATATTCCGCTTCTTAGACGACAATGAGCATCATGTGTCTTAGAACATCGTTGTCTTTGATGGATTTGATTGACTTCGAAACTTTTTTTTAAGGTGTTTCATTCGTTGATCGTTAAATTTCGTAAATCGAGACATTATTCAACTGTCCTTCTGCCAGAGGCATTGCTTTCTTTTATCGTTTCAAGTTCGCATTATCTACGGCAAGCTCAATGCATGTGCTGCGTCTTGTATGGGATTTGTAATCTATGTCACGTAATGTTCCATGTTCCGAATTCTGTTCAAGTTGAAGTATTGTGTTCCATGTTTCGAATTCTGTTCAACTGGAAGTGTAAACATGATTGTGAAACTGGTTGGTGGATGAATGAGAAATCTCATCTTATGTGAAATTGTTCAGTGGATGCCCAAACCTTTTTTGCATGACCATTTAAAATGCGGATATTCATCGTGATGGAGCACAATTTAATCTAATTCAATCTAATTACATTGTTAATTTTGTTTATAAAAGTTTAACAACTATGGATGTCAGCAAACTTTCGGATTTGGGGGGACTGGGCGGGCATGCCCATGTACAAACACTGCAGTCAAAAATGAATTCGTAAGAAAGAGGACAGTGTCACAATATAGTTACTGTATCTTTCATCACATTTATGAAATTGAAGTTTCACAAGTTAGGATCACGGCACACTTCCGCACAGGGTTCCCTTTGGCGTGCCAATCGTTGTTCGTTTATGAAGTTTGACTAGTATGGATCCCAACACTCCATCTCTATTGCTGTGGCATCGTCGTCGACATCATCCTCGTGATGCTCTCCGTACAGTTGTCTGAACTCGTCAGACTACTCTCCAGATCCGGCATCGTCCTCACTGTGTTCCACTTCGTCTTCTCCAGCCCCGACACCCTCCCTTCCTTCAAACAAATCAATTAGCTCCGTTTCTCCCGCTTCCTCCCCTTCCACCTCTTCTTCCCCTTCTTCCTCCCATTCTTGCGCTCCCTTCTGTTCCTCCATTTCCTCCCCTACTTCCCTCCCACGAAACTCGTCCCCTTCCGCGGTACGCGTGCCGAATCGCGAGGACCGCCCTTCCGTCCCCTTGCACGCTGCCCCTCTCAACGGCACGACAATCCCTGGCCGACAAACCCCGCCCGAAGAAGTTCGGATCTCGGCGGACTTCGTGGTCTCCGTGTCGCCGGACCCTGCACTTGCAGCCTCCCGCTGCAATCCTTGCGGCCGTCGCTCCCGCTCAGGCGACACCGTTCCGACGTCTCCGTCCCGCGCCGCAATGCTGCGAATTTCTCGATCCGTGCTTGGATCCCCCGACCCCGAGCAGCTTCGCATTCCGGACCGTTCTGGCGGCTCCTCACCCGACGTAGTTCGGATCCCGGTGGACTTCGGCTTTCCGGCCGAGCGACTGCCTAGAGCAACCAAGGCTGCCAACGTGTCCCTCGCTGAGCCCATGGACGAAGTCAGGGGGTCGGTGGAGTGTGTCGTGTGCTCGGGCCGGGTGCCTGTCGACGGAGTCCGATCGACGGCGAAACCCGCCACCCCAGCGCTGCCTCCCGGTGTCGTGTTGCGGCCATGAGACCCTCTCTCCCGCATAGGCGGGATTCCTTTGCCACCCTTTGCGTCGCCACCCCCATCCCCTCCGCTTCCAGGTGACCCCCCCCCCCGGAACCACCATCCGGCCCAGTGGGAGGGGGCACTTTCCAGTCCACCACGCCCTTCGATGGACTCGTGTCGAGCTCGTAGTAGTCCTCCATCAATTCCAACCAGCACTTGTCCTGAAGCTCGTAAAACAGTCGACCGGCAGTGGAAATGAGGGACAGGTCGCTGGGTGCTAAAGTGTCATTTTCGACCTTCACTTTCTGGAGGACCGAAATTCTCGTGAGGTGCAGGAAGTTGGACTTCGACTCTCGTGGGAATGACACCCATCCCGCGCCCGGGATTGCCACGGCCATGACCCACTCGCCATTTCGTATCGCTGGCTGGATGACTCCCGGATGCCAAACCATGTCATGGCCCCAGTCCTGCTCAGGTGAATGACGTTGCGGTTCAAGCAGGAAGTGGATGTTGTCATCCTTCCAAGACGGATGATCGGGCGGGACAACGGACCCGGGACGCAAAGCGGGCGGGGGGGCGGCCAGAGCTCTAAGCCTCTCCAGCAACTTCATTGGCGTGGTGCCCGGTGCCGGTTTGGCCAATGGTGACACGAGGGCTGCAGCGCTTGGTGATGGACCGACCGACGAGGACCCTCGGCCGTGGTCTGCCGGAGGCGGGTCGTACTGCAGGTCGATGCTCTCCGTGTCGCTCTCCTCCTCCTTCGCTTTGGCGACAAACTCCACACCTATGGCTTCCTCGTCGTCAGTGGAGATCAGGGAAGCGTAACTGGCTAACTTCAACTGCACCTCGGACTTTACGAAGTACAGCGACTGCAGCCTTTCGATAAACGTCTTCGCGTTCATGCGGGAAGCGAAGTGGTAGTTGTCGAGCAGTGCCAACATGTGGTCCTTCCGGCGGATGTACTCGGCGTCAGTGTCCCTCCTCGGACGCGTTTGAAGGAACAAGAAATTGTATATCTTGTTCCTCTTCCTCTCGCTCAACTTGAACCACATATCCGTCTTCTTGCTCCACACCTTATCCCGTGTTGGCCTCACGACCATGAACTCACAATTGTGCCCACCCAAATTGACCTTGCTTTTCACCACCTGCATCGTGAATTGCAAGAGGTCGAAGTTCCCTTCCATTGCGACAACGTGCCCGCCGGCCTTCAAAAGCTCCCAGACGCTTCGCGCATGTGGTTTCCCAAGGAACACGACACCCTCTCCCTTCTTGCCAAGAAAATCAAGAAGACCGACGAATTGGGTCGGATTGCGTTCCATATCCCCGTAGACGCTGCTCTGTCGTTCAGGTGCCACCAGCTACCAGTCGCAAGGCGTGAAAGGAATCTCGGACACATCCGTCTGGGTGACCCTCTAAGGCAATCGCACCGCAGCAGCGGCACCCGTGGGCAGGTTTCCCTCGTAGACCACGGACGTGTTGACGCGCAGATCGTCGTCACCTTTGAAGAGGATGTACATGTGGTCTTCCTCCGTGTACAAATTGTTCCCAACGGGGAAGCTTTTTTTTTGCTGCACTCTCCGCACCCACTTCCCTTCCAACAGCTTGACGAAAGAAAGATGGTGCATGCTGGTGAGAAACGATAGGTTGTGCTGCCGCAGCACGAAAACAACGAGAGTCCAATGCGAGGGACACCACGTCTGAAGATAAGAATTCAAAGTCTCCCACGCTTGGGGCTTCCAAAGTTTGAGGTCAACCGGCTCGCACAGATCGAGGACAAGCGTGTGGCTCTTTGTGGCAGCCACTGCCTTCTTCAGCTCTACGCCCCTGATGTCCGCCTCTAAAGGGTCGTTGGCCAACGACGCGATGGATGTCATGTCCCCCGTGTCTTTCCATTTAATGTGAACGACGCCTTCGGCAAGTGCGACTTCCCGGCTCTTCAGTCTGCTTCCATTCAACACGGAGAGAACCTTGTTTCTCCAGTAGACGGACAACTTCTTGTGGCCCACCAACTTCTCCGTCACCTCAATCGAATTGTCATAGTCGCAACCCATGTACGATGGGCAGTCCTTGAACAGCGCCGAGTCGGAAACGTGTTTCCTGCTGTTATCCCACAACTCGTCATCCAATCCCTGACCTTCAAACTTCTTGAACACGGCAGACCTCGATTTCATGAAAGGGTACCTTTGGATCCAGTCCGCGTCCGGCCTCTTCTCGTGCTTGAATTGGTAGTAATTCCACAACCGGACCAGCACGCGGTCACACTTCACCAGCTGAACCATGTCCTGCACGCTGAGCTTTCCCAACTTCGCCAACGACGGGGAGCCGGCCTGGACCCAAACGACCTCGCAAGCAAGCACCTTTTTCAGAACACGACACTTCTCATTGTCCGTGAGTGATTCCATTGCTTTCCAACAATGCGCGTCCGGGTCTGGCACTTGCACGAACCAATCGCCCTCCTCTTTCTCCTTTTTGCCCTTTTTATTCGGCGGGTCCACGGGGACGTTGTACACCACCTCCGTTCTGCCCAATTTGTCGTTGTGGATGTAGGCGACCCCAGGCTTTACGTTTTTGACCTTCTTCTTTTTGACGGTCCACTTTGCCCCATCGTGGCTCATCAATCTGCCCGTCTCCCATTTTTCGAAAAATTCCACAGCCAGTTTCCAGACATTTTCCCCAGCCATCGCCAGAGGTAAGTAAGAACGCAGGGCAGCATTTTGCTTCTTAATGGCCTCCTCTTCCTTTTGATCCGCGAGAAGCCACAAGCTGTTTTGAGGCGCCTTATGGAGCGCCGTTGTACAAAACTTACGCCAAGCCTGGACCTGATCTTGTTTCCCGCTAGGGTTCCCCATCACAGCTCTTGGGCAGCCGTCATGCTTCCATTGCCATCGAATGTCTTTCATAGAAAGTTTTAACTGTCTGGGAGGCACCTTCAGGTCCTTCTTGTTGTCCTGTGAACTAACAAGAAAATACCCTTCGAAGTCATCGTCGGAAAAGTACACCATCAGTGCCGGCCAATGCTCGAAATTGTACTTCTTGGCCACCTCGCTGCCGAGCAGCGACCTGGCTGCAGCCGCGTTGTGCTGCCCGCACACCGCGGCGTAGTAGTATTCTCCCGCCAGCTCATCCTTCCACTCCTCTAGCTTCAGACGTTGTGCCTTGGTCCCATGAGTTGGTTTTTGAAGCCCTAGTGGTGCGAGCTTGAAGACCGACAACTCGTACGTCTGTTCTTTATTTTCGAACGCAGACCGCATTGCTTCCCTTATCGTTTCCACGAGGACGGGATCTAGCAACCGCTGGTTGTWAAGATCCTCCCACTCCCTTATGTCAACGATCTGAGCCGGGCTGATCTCAAACTCCCGCCTTGTCCTGACGCCGTCTTTGTACTCCAGGAAGTACCCGGCGTCCACGTCGATGGCAGGCCGTGGTGAAAAAGGTCCCGACTCAGGCTGTTTATGTTTCGAAGCTGGACGTTTGCTACCCGGGTGGCCCTCTTCCACCCCCCTCCCCTTCCGTTTCTCTCCCTCAGTCCTCGGGGTCTTGGTCTTCTGTTTCTTCGAAGAGCCCACCAACTCTTCTTGACATTCTCCCCTCCTTTTTTGGTGAGTGCCCTGCGCTCCCTCCCCACCCACGGCCTCGCCTTCTGCGCCATGGCCCTCAGCGGGCTCCAAGTCAGACCCACACAGGACTCCCTCTTCTCCGGGATTCGCTGCGGTCTGTTGCCGGACCCCAGGTATGGACAGCACGGACCTGTCTCTTTCCCTCAACGGCGAAAACAGCGGATGCGGTGTCGCCTCATCTTCGCTGTCGTCAAACTGACCTCTGGCATCCTCCCGCTGCACATGTGTAGCCTCCCCGGAACCCAGATCCCCCCCCTCCCCCGCTGCCCCGCTCGACTCACAACCGCCGCAAGGATGCAAAGGCATTGACAGTTCCAGGTCGGGACCGACTTCGCAAGGGACGTCGAGGGCGATGCCCTTGTCCTCCAACAGGTCGAAGAACTCTCGACCCAAAACAAACCCGCCCTGCCGCCGGAGGTCGTTGTAGAACGGGGTGTTCGCAGCACCCGCTCCGAACCCCTCGAACAGACATATGTCGAGAACTGCCCCCTTGGCACCGGTGATGACGTTCCCCTTCAAACCGTACACATTTTTCATGTAAGACCGTCGACTACTGCCTTTCGCATTCTCCCACCAGAAGACAGCCCCCAGAACCCTGCGGCGCTTGTTGGCTTCGACGAAGATCACAGGACCACACGGCTATTGGACTGGGTTCGTAGCATCAGCACAGCACCAGTCGACGAACCATTTCGACCTAGCGTGGTCGGACCACGTCCTCGAGGTCGTAGACGATCGTTTTGTAGAATCTTTCTCAGATCCCATCCCGGAGGTCGCTGCAGGTTCCCCTTCGCCCCTGGACGAACACATATTGTCTGCGGACGACAACGAAAAACAAATAAAACACCAGCGAGCGTCAAATCGCAGTCAAAGCACAACGCATGTGAAAAACAGAGGAGGCACACCTTGTCCTCAACACGCCAGTCACATGACGCTATCCAAGGACCTCTAAGTTCGGATCCCGCGAACTTCTAACGCGAAGACCAGCAATGACCTCTTACCTGCAATGAGATCATTCTTTACAAGGGCACACGCTTCATGCAGCCGGGCGACAACCACGTTGGTTTTTTCCGGAACACGGATGTCCACCGGATCGGGAATGGATGGGTGGTGACGAACAAAGCCCGCATTGGACGGGGCAGTGTCCTCCGTTTAGCAATAGGAACCCGGACAGTTCAGGACGCGAAGTTCGCCGAGATCCGTACTAAAAGTGCTTGTTCGAAGCCAAACCAACGCACCCACCGAAACGTGAAGGTCGTCGGGATCCGAACTTCAGGAAAATGCGACAGGCAGAGACGACGTCAGGCAAACACAAATTGGACTGAACCACGACCCCGAAAGGCCGCACTAACACAAAAGGCCGCTTGAGAAGGACAAGTTCGCCGAAATCCGGACTTCTTCTGATATGCGCAGCTTGGCATTGGATGAAGCCAAGTTCGAACGAGCAGCCACGACAACATTGTATGAGTCCCTGGAGGAGCAGTTGTGGATCAGGGTTTGACTCGTTGTGAGGAAACCCGGGGAAGGGTCGCCTACCGTTCGCCGAAGCCAAGGGCAACGGCGCTTGTCACTCGCCGAGCCCGCCTCCGAGGTCCTCGGCAATCAGCAGGGTGATGGCCTCATCACTCACCTGCTCCATGGCCATTATGAGTTTCATGTCCGAAGACTCTCGCTGCCTGTAGGATTGTAATGAGATTAATTAATGAGAAATATTCGCCGTTCTTCGGGCTCGCCTTTAGCGGTAGGGCCCCCCAACCCCCGTCACTCTCTCTCCGTCTCATCAGCCTCACATACTCTAGGGGTTCAACCGGGCTCAGACGCCCAGTTCGCTGTATCAGACTCAAAAGTTCCCAAGCGTTCTCAGGCTTAACCAAGTATCCCCGTACAACTCAAAAGAAGAGATTAAATAAATTATACTTTAAATGAGTAACAAATAAAAATAAGTTCACTTGAAATA